TAGTATAATAGCTATAATAGTAACTATCAGCTTATTCTTTGTGTCAAAAAATTGGTGCGATGGTGTAATGGATATGAAGAAGAATGAAAGGAAAGATTATTATGAGAAAAAACCTGTTAGACTTGATGAAAAACGCGGAGTAATGAATTACATCTTTATTTGTTGTTTTATTTGTACGTTGGTTTCAAGTTGGATTTTATTTTTCATTTTTGTATTTTAAATAAAAAACTTTATTTTACTTTTACATTATGAAAACGATTCGTAATGACAACTATGAACATTATATCTCATTTGCTTCGTTAATGAGATGATTATTTAATAGGCTCATATTATTGATATGTATGGCCAGGTATCGAAATATAAAGGGTTTTTTTTATGATACAGAAAAATCTCTCAATATCGAAAAAAAAATTCAATATATTCAACGCAGTAAAATTATTCATTTATCAAATGACTATTTGTAATTTATCTTAAAGATTTCATAAGATTCATTTTTCTTAACATTCAAGTCAATGTTAAAAGGACTCAAGGCATAACTGGAGAAAATGATTTCCACAAGTTTTTCTAATATACGTACTGAAATCATACATTAAACCATACGTACTAATGTTGCAGTTTTGTATAATTTCGTTACATTTAGAAGTTTTCTGTGTGATTACTGTTGTCTTTATTCATATTAAGAACAAGAATTCTCGATTTAATTTTCAATTTTCTCATTATTTTAGAAGTTAAATAATAATAATGACTAACATCGTTTCTTAATTGAGTACTATACGAGTCCACTTCATGACTTTAAATTTAAAAAAAATCAGTTCTGGAGATATCCTAATTACAAAACTCAGAAATAAATTTAAATCTTAAAGCAACAGAAAATCTTTTCTTTTTTAAAAACTAATTTTATAACATACCTATTTTTATTTAAAATTGTACGTCGTACATTCATATTCATAACAGGTAATGGTTCGTGACTCAGGCGTTGGGGCAGAATGTAAAATATAATAAACAATAAATCACCTATACCAAGCTTTCGGCTGAATGAAATTATACATAAAATCTCCTAACGCTAATTTTTACATTCCAAATTTGACCAGCCTCCATTTATCGATTTTTGGTGCAACCTTACGAAGAGCATGAGTGGATATTTTATATTAAAATTCCAATTTAATTTACTGTGCGAATTAAATTATTAAACTATAACGTTGCCATCAAAGAAATGGAAAACGAATGGATTGCGTTTTGTATAGATCGAAGTCTTCAGATCCAGTAAAATGGAATGCAGGATTTATTTCAAAAATTCGAGCATGATGTTAGAGCGACAGGTAAGTCTTTTGGAATGGTACCAGTGGAAATTTCCATATGTTTTTGTGTTCGAGATGGTAATTATATCGTATCTTATATTTATCTCATAATCCAAAAGTAAAACAAAGGTTACTGTAAGAAATTTCTTCCAATGGGTTTCTTCACTTTTATTGCGCTTATTTACCCAATGAAAGTGATAGTTTGTCGAAGAGATATTGACAATTCAACTCAAAAAATAAAGATATTGGTCATCAATGAAGAAGATCTTTGGTGGGTTTATGCCTCTCTTTACATTTAATGTATCAATTTAAAAAATATTAACGATGAATTTGATGTAATGTTAAATCATATTTATGTAGATAATTAATATTTTTTTTAATAAAGCAACATGTTCCAGTGGAACGAGTTCTTTATGGCGGAACCAGTCTAATAACAATTCGCGCCTATATATGTTTGAAATCCTAGTGGAAAAGGGTGTAAAAAACATATAACAATAAAATTTAATAATAAAAAAACCTTAACAATAGTTGTATTTTCGGCATTAATATTACACCTGAAAATTCGAGTTGAATCCGGGTTAAACAATAATCGGGTCGAGTCGAATTCGGGTTCGGTAATTATTAACGGGTTCGAGTTCGAATATGTCAAACCGACCCTTACGGAGCACTATCCAGAACTAACAATCATTTTACTATATATAATTTTAGAGAATAATTTGGCAACAAAGGGAATCTTGATCCCCTCTATGTAAGTTGGATACGAGCGACTTGACTTGTTTTGGCAGTAACAGAATTCAGTTTTTTTTTTTTTAACTTATGAAACCTTCAACAAAGACATGAAAGTCTTCTTCAATATCACTATAATTAAAATTATTCAGCTGGTACTTAAAATTCATTATTTTCGCAATTTTATTAGGTGAATATGAATTTAATAACAAATTTCATATTTTGGAATAGATATCTTTAACGGGTCCAACAAAAATTCCAGTTTGTAAGGGCATGAACCTAAATGACTGCGCCTTTCTGACTTTCTGACATTACCATTTCCGCCTTTAATTAAATGATTAAGATCATACAGACCTTCAAAAATACCTTTAAGTGCAATTGATGTTCGTAAACCAGAAGAAATTATAAACGTTGCCGAAAAGATTTGGTAAAATTGAAATACTTGCCAATGTAGGAACTGTTTTTGTCGGAGCATGAACTACATATCACGTGATTCTCCCTTCAGATGGAAACTTTTTGGCATCAGTCGAAACTCTTTCTTATAAAGCTTTTCGTACTGAATTTGAGATAGATTTACTTGGAACTTATAATATCTGTAGAAATCCAAAGGCTGTATTATAAATGTTTCATGCGACTTTTCATTTCAATACACACTCTATCAGGTAATTTTATTTCGACACGATCAATATATTATTAATTAAATTATTTTTTAACAAAAAGTCTTATGATTCAGCCGCAAAAGCGGGAATTGATGCTCTGAGTAAAAATCGGTTTATTCATTAAATATATAATAAAACCTGTGCAGTTAACCTTATTAATTTATCGTACGATATATCTTAGTAAATTAATGGTTTATTGTAAAAATAGTCCCCGTCTCTGTAAAACATACATAGTAATATATCGGATCTCTCCTCCATTGTAGCGAAAATTTTTTGGAAATTTCAACGCTTCATCCTTGACACCGAGATTGTTATTTTACATAAGGAATAGTTGCTAATTCTAACTCCTAATTTAGGGTTAACAAAGGCGAAGGTGATATATTATAAAGAAAATCAATTAACAAACGATAATTATTAAGAAATTAGAAAATACAAAGCGTAATTTTTATGCCTTAAGAGAAGGTGTTAAAATTTTCTCTATCTATAACAAAACGAATTTTATTTATATTAATATTTTATATACATTTCTTTCTTGAAATTCGGGGAATGGTACTGATAGTCGAATATTATTAAACGAATTATATTATGAAATGCAGAGGAAACCAACTATTGCTGTCTCACGATACGAATCTCTATTTAAAAACAAAGGCCAGATTATACATATATACAGAATTTTGTCTAAAGTTAAACAAGGCGCAGTAAATTTGGAATCTGGCGCAGGTAGTGACACTATCGTCCATCCGAGGTAATCAAATTAAATATTCTTGAAGGAAATATAGTGACTTTGATACATAATTCACTTAAATATAAATTTTAATAGCTTGTAATTAATATTATTATCATTGATATGTAATTATTAAAATATTTAGATAGATTTAAATTTAAATGAATTCGCCCGTTCTAGAAGATTAAGTAGGAATGACAAATTTAAAGCAATAATACGAGATTTGGTCATCTTTTACAATTTTAACCAAAAGATTGAAACTTAAAATTGATTTTTTCTTTTAAATTTTAACAGATAAACTAACTAATGAAGCCTTCCGTCTCCATATAACTCATTCACTTTGAGAATAAATTAGCACATTATTCAATATAAGAATCGACCACGCATAATATGAATGTTATCTTTTTTACACGTGATCTTTTTCAAGTTATTTTTGTTTTTTTGATCGATCGCAAAATTTGTTACAATTGAAACGATCCGACTTTTCCCGAAAAAAAACTCCTTGCTTTTAAAATTTATGTTGGGGTTTTGGGGTGGTGTTATCTTAGTTCCTCCTTAAAACTACAAATTTTTTTTTTTCGTAATTGATTCTTGAAAAATTTTACCAAAAAAAAATCTACAAAATGTCCTTCAAACGCAAATACCTTGAAGACAAAGCTACTTTTCATCTAAGCTTGTATTTCAAAAAAACCTTTTACAAGTTCTTGTTATTATAGTAACTCCAATTTTTAAACTTCTAAGGAAGTTTTAATTATAATAAATTTTTGTTGACCAAAAAATATTGGTAAAAGTCAACATTTTAAAAGTTGAATTATAATAAATTTTTTGGTGAAATAACAGTTGGAGGAAATGATTTGGTGTTTAACTCGCACACGTCCTGGATTATTATTAAAAGAGGAACAAAAAAATCAATTTTTAACGTCGAACTGTTTGAATTATCTATAGTTAGAGTTGTGTAGATTAGTTTACGTTAATCCTTCCAATCCCTTACCTTCTTTCCCTTACATTAACACGATTACAAAATTTGATATTTTATATTGATTTAAATATTTTAGTAAATGTGATTTTTTTTTATATTGAATAAGATATTATTTCGTCCATTTTAATAATTGTTTCTATCATGTTGATTTCTGTGAAATGTATCTTTTTCTTTTCCAGTCAACGCAAATTATAAAGAGCGACCTTATGATTCGAATTTTTCTATTTTTCTGCGTCATTCGTGACGCAAACGTCGTATATCTTTAATTTTTCAATTTTTATATAAAAACTAGAGTTTGCGGTTTGCGGGGAACTTCGTCCCTCATTTAGCATTAAGTGATTGATTGCAAAACCAATTCAATTATATTTAAAATCTATTATATATGTATATTTAACAAATTTTTTAGCAAAATGTTTAATTATTTTTGATAAAAAAGAAGTCAAAATAATTTTAATTTTATAATGGTAAACCATATTCTTTAAGCATTGATTCATTTGTAATAAAGGCAGAAGGATGTAATGAAGCAATATGCACTTTGACCAATTAGAGCATCGGCTTAATGTAACATATGCTTGACCAGCAGAGAAAATTTCATGGTCAAGACATAAATATACTTCGGGTAAAGTTAATCCTTGTGTTTTATGCACTGTAAGAGCAAATGCATTTTGCAAGGGAAACTGACATCTACTTGTTGCACTGATCGGCTGTAAAATTAGAAAATCCTTCTCCTTCATGAATTTTACCCGGAATTCGACCCAGATCGGAAGGGATCTGAAACTCGTTCATCTTTTTCTGAATCTTATTCAAGGAATTTAATGTTAAAATCCCTTTATCAATCCAGATTCGTTTTACTATCCATTGTGCAATGCCTAAAAATAGGCAATGCATTAGATCGATTGTGATATATTTTATAGGATCAAAATATGGTAAAAGTAATAATTCAGACCATCTTACGCCACTTTACTTCACAAATCGTTTTTGTGAAGCGTTCAAATTACAGCATCTCCATTCTAACGTATTTTGACAATGCTCAATTAGATCTCGCATAATGAACCAATCATCAATATTATCTATTCTAGCAAAATTATACTGATGATTTTTATAATTTACCTTCTTTTCGTATCTATGACATGATACTAAGGCCAAAATATGTCCACATATTTTTCTAGCGGCCAGTACATCACATGAAACAAGAATTAAAGCTGCACAAATATTCTTTCCTTCAGGATGTTCATATGTTTTATCTATTGTAAATCCATCCCAAAGTGATTCCAATTTATCTACAATTGGCACTAAATAGTGATTTATTTTATGTAAACTGACTTCACTTAGTCTGGGTAAAAGACTAAGAGTCAGTAAATTTTTACGTTTAAATCAGATATCATGAGGCAAATTGCATATAGCAGCATTTATTACTCCAATGCTATAAACAGTACCACCATATGGCTGGAACCAGTTGAGATTTAGCATTAATCCAAGATGAAAATTGGTCACTTCATTTTGAAAAAAATTTGCTAAATCTTCTTGTGAAGATTCTTTTAACATTTACCAAACTTCACCATCATATATATCAGTCATAATGTTGTCAAAACGCTGACGATTTGTCTATTATCTCAAGCTAGTTTCAAAATTAGGCTGATGATACATAGAATTGAGTTATTGTCGAATTTTAGAAAACAGAAAGATTAAATTAGGTCAAATTAAAGTTTAATTTATCGATAAAATTTTTTGAGATAACGGAGTATTGCAAAATCGTATTTTGCGAATTGACAAATTGAAAAATTCTATATGCTAATATTTCATTACAGTTGGCATATTATTCTGCTGAAAATTCACCACTTCCTGCTTTTGATACAGCTTATGACATTTGGAATAAGGAACGAAATGGTGAAATCAATCATTTAATCCAAGTGCTTTTTTCATTAAGTATATTGAATTTGGAAAATTTCTAAATTTGTCATCTTCGATTTCTGTCAGAACCAATTTCATAAATTTTATTAACGCCTCAGTTGTAAACTCTGTAATGTTGAATCTTATCTGAAATAACATGATCCAAAGTAAAATTCACAAAAATCAGTTATCAATTGATTCTGTATTTGGTGGATTTTGAAATGGCTCGTAATTCGATAGTGCATAATCTTCAAAAGTTTTAAAATCATCCTCTACAGAAATATCATCATCTTCAAATTCACCTGTAATATAATCTTCTTCAGTAGTAAATTCTAAAGATTCTGAATGTTGATCGGCTTCTGTTTCAGGATCATCAGAAGAATTTATGCCAGATTTTGAACGATTTGTATATTTTCTTATATATCTCTAAGGTAAAAAAGTAGAATCAAAATCTTCTTGATGTCTATCATCAGAATTATATTTGACGATTTTTATAATTCATCCAGTCGAAGTCGATATTGACGATTCTCCCATTTCATCTTGTATTCTAAATTGATGAAATATATCTGAAATAGAACTTTGTGAATCTTGATATCTAATTCTAGTATTATGAGAGGTTGATAGCCTAAAAGTAGATATATTTTCTTCATCAGTTAAATCACTAATTGACTTACTTGTTCTTCTACGAGAAGGCGTATTTGAAGATTGAAAAGTAGAAATATCTTCTTTATAGATTAACCTAGGAATCGATCTATTTCTTCTACGAGAAGATGTATTAAAAGATTGACTAAATAATGAATTATCATCATCACTGCGTAATTTAAAAATTGACCTTTTTTAGCTCATTTTTATTTTATAATTGAGAAATTAAGAGGAAAATAAAAGTTCAAAATAGAGTTATTTTTGAGGACGATTTTAGTTGAATTTTATATTTTTTTAAAAAAATGCAGTAGTTTTGCAAATATTTATATT